TATTGTAAATAATGCCCTCAATCACTCGCTGTGTATGATTGCAGGTAATTATTTGCTTCCCGAGTTCACATAAGAACTTCTAGTTCAAAAGATGTAGTTAGAATGGTTTTTAATTATGAAAAAATATATTAAACCCACTAAGCACATTTGAAGTTGCTAACTAGAATCCACTACTACAAAATGGGCAATTTCGTTGAAAAACTGGCAATTCGTTTTTTCAGTGGTTAGCTGGTGTTAACAATAACTGTCGCTTATGTCACAGTGGGCAAAACTATTGGCGTTTCATTAAACGCCAGAAATTTTACACAGCCGTTGGCAAAGTTATCAGTGTTTCATTAAATGCCAGAAATTTTACACTGGCGTCTCTGCCGGCAAAAAATAAAAGCCGGGAAAATTGTCGAATTCCGATGGCTGGAATTTTTTTTAGCAACGTTTAAATAAATGCCGAAAATGCCTCCAGCAAATATTTTTCTTTTGTTCTGTTGTTCATTATAAAAATAAGTAAGTGTTTGTTTTTCTTTGTGCTTCTATATATTGTTCCTGTTCACAATAATATACAAGCAATTAAATTATACAACATTTTACCGTCATTCAAACTTGCAATTCAACTGCATAAAAACAGTTTAATTCAAATGACATCTTTAAACCACATTAAAGCCTCCATCCAACATACATTGAATTTAATAATCCAATCCCTTAAAATATGTAATCAAATCCACCAAAATATGTATCCGAAATACATTCAAAAGAAATACTTCCAACAACACTAAAAAGTCATTCCAATAAAGTTTTGGTGTCGTAATAATTTATTTTAGTTATCCTAAAATAAAGACAGACAATCATATAAGTATGAACATCTGTTTATGTATAGGCATAATATTAATAACTAATTAGTATTTATGTCGACAATTAGCTTTGAAAATTTACCTCATGGTTGAACCTTCAATTTATGTTTCTTTTATCGATATACCTGCACTTAAAAAAGATAGGAAAAAAAACCTTTATTTCCCTCATGGTCCCCTTACTTTTTATTTATTTTATTTTTCATCTCTTTTACCAAACAGAACATAAGGGTACGTAAATATCTTACTCATGTATGTTTTGAATTTTTGTTACAAATTGTAGAGTCACTAATTATAGTTTTTATATTTTATAGGACTTCTTCAATTTCTCTATCGACTGGTGCAAGACAACGGTTGTAACCCATGTTTATAATCAAGTCGACTACAATAAACGACTCGTTTTTCCTCTTCTTTAATTACTATTTGGTTTGCCCAAATAATAATCTAACTGTATTTTCCTTTTTATTGCAAATTCATGGTCATTTGTGGCGACTTACGCATGCTCAAGCCTTTACAAGATTAATTGTGTAAAGCTGCTAGAATACTAAATGGGATATTGTAAGAGGATCAAATGAAGTTGAGGCATATAAATGTATTCGAGAATATGGCGTATCGCTTGGAGCAGAGTATATGATGGGAAAAGTCAAAACCATATGAAAAGGAGAGACGAGTATAAATTTTTTTTTGGGTTATAATGTTTTTGTATTTATGAAAGAATATTAAATAAATATTGTTCCGCACTTTTTTTTATATAAAAAATGTCATTCTTAAAATTGTCTTTTATCGACTAGACTAATCTTTAAAACAATGAAAATGGTATTTTCGAAAATTGCTTAGGTTTGAGAAATAAGACTGAAACAACATTTGATGGAGAATAAAGGTTTTTTTCTTTTTTGCATGGGTAGGGTGATAAACTCCAACTTTTAATGCTGTTTATATCATGGGCTTGCACTTTCCAAACTATCGTGCGACACTTAGACACTAGTAAGCAATCTTTTAAGTGGTAAGTAAGCCTTCCAACCTCGCTAATTCAAGATGCTAGAGAAACACAAGGAGATAGAGTAAGGGAGCTTGAGAGAATGTAGAAATGTATTGCTCAAGGGAATAATACAACTTGAGACTTGGTGAGAACACATAAGACTCAACCCTTATTTATAGGCTCTTGTTCTTACAATGAATCACTAAGACCTTGCCAAGTGCCAACTATGTAGGCTAGAAACTTCTATACAAACCTCTAGATAATTACATATATAAGAATGAGCAATACTATTGAGACCTAATTTATTGACCTAATTTGCTGACCTAATTCACTATGACCTTTGGATTAACTGTGGGATCCATCAAACATTAGAACTTGGTGTTGATCTAATGGTTCTGTTCAAGCGATATCATTATATCAGTAAATTAGGTTAAATTTTTAGGTCCAAATAATATTACTCTATAAGAATACTCTAGGTTTCTCTAGACTTCTCCTTCCCCCTCTAGAGTTCTCCAAGGATTAAGTTCCGAAGTAGACCTAGAGTACTCCGAAACCTCCACTCTAGGGTTCTCCACTTCCTCTTAAAAGCAGGCTGTGACACTTATCTCTAATGTGTATACAATAATGCTACTCCGACATAATTTACTGACCTAATCCACTGTAGCGGTTAGATTGACAGTGGATCACATCTAATATAGAGACTTACTACTAATCCAACCAATAAGTTAGGTCTACGTAACATCACGCGTGTATAATCATTATCACTTAGACCCTCATGTAACTTGGGATATATTTTTTTCTCCTCTCTGTCATAGTGGTAAAGACAGCCTAGATGAGAATGCAAAACCACTGCAAAACTAAGGGACACCACAGTAGAACAAGTATGGCCTCTATTGGAGGATTTTTTCAACATTCACCAGTGGCTTCCGAGAATTAATGCCTGTTACCAAGTTGAGGGAGACTATGGAAAGCCTAGCCTCATTCGATACTACACCGCCACGATACCATCAACATCGGACGGAAGTGACAAGTCCATCAAGTGGTGTCACAAAAAATTACTTGCAATCGACCTGATTCAACCTAGTTTAACGTATGATATTCTGGATAATAACATGGGATTCAAGTTTTATTTACCAACGATGAAAGTATTACCAATCAACGGTGATGATCAGCATGGATGAGAGATCGAAAGGACCATTCTGGCTGATAAGATTGAAGGGTTCAAATTTAAAGGTTTTTTTTTACCTGCTTTGTTGACTCCGTCAGTCAGATCATGGCGTAGAATATGCAGAAAGCATTACTACAATCCTCTTAAGTGATAATGGACCCATTAATATGGTTAATTGATTGTGTTTATGATATGTTATATTTACAGTTGGGGACTCTACTTGTTATGTACTTTTAAAATCTATTTATCCAAGTTGATGTAATTGTCATCATATGATATAAAAGAATGGTGTGTTGTTTGAATTCGTCGAAGGGCATCTAAAGTATTTTATAGGTTTACGTTTTTAACCTTTGTTATACAAAGTGTTTTGAAAACATGTGTAATGAACATGTTGGTTGTCCAATTGGTTTACCACGCAAACCCGAGTAGCCTTAGCCTTAGCCTAAACTTGTTAATTTTATATTGAACTTTAGTGGTGTTAGTATGTCGTATAAAAAAATTATCATCTCTACCCTTGCCTAATCGATCCTTAATTTTTTTATCCTAAACCACCATAACTACATAATCGGACACCTAATTAAGTAAACTCATGACATATACAATATGTATTATTTATCTTCTCTGTGATGCTTCAAATCGTATATAACCTTGACTTGTATCAAATTCATCTCGAGAATAGTAATCGTAGATTGATAACTTGAGCTACTATAACTTTGACTTCATAGTAACTGAGATATATCTATACTATTAATAAAAGTACTTTCATATGAAAAATTTTATACTCTCTCTCTCTCTCTCTCTCTCACACACACACACACAATTAGAGCCCCCTTTTAAAGATGGTACTACCATTGCACAATTATAGCACATCTATATAATAAAACACATAAAAAATTGAACTTTATTTTCTACACATTTTTTACCCCAAAACCATCGTATCATATATTTCTATCATATGTGAGAAAATTTTATCGAATTACGTATTTAAAAAAAAATTTGTCAATATTGTTAAAAAAATAATAGGTAAAAATAAGTTTTGAATGATGCAATCAAAGAAATGAAAGAAAAAAATTATTATTTAATACAATAAAATCAATTTTTGGAGGATTCAACTTTTATTTTCTATCAAACCTTCAAACACAAGTTATAATTAGTTAAATTCTAAAATATCTGTTTTTCGAAAAGGTATATTAAAAAATAACCTAGTTATTAATCCCTCTCTCTCTCTCTCTCTCTCTCTCTCTTAGTGCCCTTTCTTAATAGAGTAATGCTATTTTCAGCTAAAAATCTGACACAAATTTTTAAGTTTCAATAGTATTAGTTGTCAGATTTTTAATTTCTAATAACTGATGCTATTCTTAACGAGCTGCCAAGAATTAACTTTGGTTAGCGTGTAGGCATTAACAAGAAAACAGCTCACACTAGAAGTGGCCGCCAGCATCCTCCCAATACTCTTCTCATGAGCTAATATTTTATTGTCAATGATGTGATGTAATTTAAGTGAATATATATTTCATTATGAAAGTTAGTCTATTAGGTAATTTGAGTGTGGAAAAAATTATAGATTGGTTAAATATTTAGAACAATGCTATTTAACCAAAATTTATATCACAATTAATAAGAATGGTTGGATTAGTGGGTCTTAATTTTAAAAGTTAATGAAATCCATTAATTTAATAATTTTTTTATTGAGATATAAATTTGAGTTTGATGTTGTTAATTTTACGTCGAGTCAAAGCCATTTAAGAGTGCATTAGATTCTCATAAAGAAGGAATGATATCTCCATTGGGAGAGTGAGTCTTGGTAAGTTTGTTCTATTTTCACACGGAAGTGAAAAGTTTTAGTCAAAAAAACAATCGTCTTTTTGGCGAAAGTCTCGAGGATGCATTTTTTGTCAAACCATCACCATTGGAATTCTGTGCTGGCTGGCTCTCATTCCTTGTTTTTCTGTTCTTATTAAGGTATTTGTATCTCTCTTTAAGCATTCACTTTGATTAACTTCTCCCCCTAATGGAGCATGAAATTCTACCCAAGTGGGAAGCTGAATTCTTAACAAAGCTAAAGAAAGCAAGTGCAGACCAAATATGGCCTCTTTTCGAAGACTTCTTCAACTTACACAAATGGTTTCCTGGTCTCTCAACCTGTTATGGCATCCATGGAACCAATGGTGAGCCTGGCTGCATCCGATACTGTGCCGGCTTCTCTCTCCCATCCCAAGAAAATAACGCCAATGGCGAAAACCCGGTTAGCTGGTCAAACGAGAGGTTGGTGGCCGTTGATCCCACACAGAGGAGTTTAAGCTATGAAATTGTGGACTGCAATATTGGGTTCAAGTCATATTCTTCAAAGGTCAGGATCATCCCGGGTGGCGATGATGGTGGAGATGGTTGCGGGATCGAATGGTGGATCACTGTCGATCCAGTGGAGGGATGGAAACTTGAAGATTTGGTGAAGCGGTACGAGGTCAAACTGCAGCTCATGGCAGAGAAAATGGAGGAGGATGCTCTAAGGAGTTCAAAAAAAGGTGAGTTGTTGGCTAATGAAATGGTGGGTTTTTTTTTTTGTTGCTTGTCGTTTTCTTTGTACTTTTTGTCATGGCAAGTAGTGTTAGTTTGTTGTGTTCTTTCCATGTTATGCAATCTTATCTGTCAATTTTCTATTTCTTTTTTCTTTTTTTGCAGTACTTAAAATGCATTTTTTTTCTGAGAGAGCTAAAAAAATTTCTTCTTGCAACAAATGAGGTCCACTGGGAAGGATTTAGGGCCTGTTTGATTATCGGGTTGGGGGGGTTTGGAGGGGGTTTAAGAAAAAATAGTTTGATAGATCGCATAATTTTGTGTTTAGTTAGTATTTTTAAGCTCGAAATTCATATTCTAGTTTGTAAGTGGTTTGATGCATTAAACCCACATAAATGGGATTGGGCAAACCCACCGGGGGAGGTGGCTTTTATATATCCTAGCTAGCTTTGGTTAACTATATCAAATGACTCTTCTATTCCTAATAAAATATTCTATTTATCAAATCACATCCCAACCCTTCCCAATTACTCCTCTCTGTAATTAAACAAACATGGGCATTGTTTGTTAACAAAATAATTTCAGCAGATTAGAAAGTTTTGATCGTGTATTCACTCTCCTTAAAGAAATTATGTCCTCACTTTGTTGTTGTTGAATTTATGACAAATTCTTCTAGGATTAACAAAGCCAAACAAAATTTTAGATAGTAAATTCTAAAATTCTCCCAATAACAAAATAGGGAAATGTTTTTTTGTATATGTCTGTATTGAAGGATTTATATAGGCATATATAACACCTTAGAGATATAAAGATGAGACACAACTCTTGAGTCAAGAGATATTAATTAATACAAAAATAATTAATCGTTTATAGAATTCAAGCTCAAGATGTCCCAAGTGCCCATCTTTTGACTTTAAATATTATTTTACTTAAAGCCTAATCAAGGCCCATTGATTTGAAATATTTGGAGCTTTCCTCCAAATCTTCCCACCATCCAAATTTTATAAATTTGGTGCGTTTCTCCTTTTAAACTCTTACAGTTCCTTTCAAATTTTTCAATGTAGGATACCTTATATTACTAACTATTTCTAACAATCCCCCACATAGATAGTAATGTAAGTAATCAAAATCAACTAAAGTTTATGCATATAGAAGGTATCTTTCGACTTAAACCTGCTATTAGTATAAACATTTCAAAACCTTGTCAAAATCAATGGTTATTTAAATTTATTAGACCTTGATTTTATACAACAAGATTGAAAATATCATACACATAAACTTACAAGCTTCTCTAAATGTGTTCACCGTGAGCTTTACCACCATATTATGGCCTTCTGCTACCTCCTAGTTTCATGAACACTTACAAATGTTTTATTTTCAAACTCTTGATAGAAGCGGCATCATTTCTTGTGTTCACATAGGTGAAGAGCTGTTAAAATTTCAAAATTTTGAATTTTCTTATTCAAAAACCAAACATAAAGTCTTCATTAAGAATAATTAATATTCAACCTCCTTTCCATAAGCACTATATATAAAACCTTTTGCTTGCTAACATCACTAATAGCTTGTTATTACCACTTAAACCTTTAAAATTGCTAAGCAACAAGAAAGATAAAGATTTTCATTATTAGTGACAAATTTGGAATATTTTAAGACTCATTGCACTCGTAGTGCTTTTAATTATATTTCTCGAGAGTCCTTTAGTTAATGGATCAGCTAGGTTTTTACCAGACCTGACATAGACAACTGTGATTGTACCATCAGAAAGCAGTTATCTAATATATTCATGTTTTAAAGCAATATGTCTAGATTTATTATTATAAATCTTGCTAAAAACCCTAGACATAGTTACTTGACTATCACAATGCAAAGAGACTGATGGCATCGGTTGTGGCCACAACTTTAAATCTAACAATAAATTTCTTAGCCATTCTGCCTCTTTACTTGCTGCTGCCAACGCAATAAATTCAGATTCTATTGTGGAATGAGTAATACACGTCTGTTTCTTAGAAGCCCATGATATAACTCCTCCACCTAAAGTGAAAATCCAACGATACGTTGATTTGTTATCTTTGATACTAGTTATCCAACTAGCATCAATATAGCCTTCTAGTACCAAATGGAATTTGTTATAAAACAAAGCAAATGACTTTATCCTTTTAAGATAACTGAGAACTCTTCCAATAGCCCTCCAATGTTCGGTACTAGGATTACTTGTATATCTTGAAAGTTTGCATACATAAAAGGCAATATCAGGTCTAGTGTAATGCATAGCATACATTAAACTACCAATTGCACTTGCATAATCTAATTGACTAATGGATCTACCCGAATTTTCTGCCAACTTGTTGGAAACATCAAATTGGGTATTAGTTTCTTTAATTCACAAGTGGTTAAATTTAGAGAGAATCTTATCAATGTAATGAGATTGGCACAAAGCAAAACCCCCACTATGTTTCTTAATTTTAATCCCTAAGATACTATCAACTTTTCCCTAATCTTTCATTTTAAATTGAGAAGTCAAGTATCTCTTAGTATCATTTACTCCTTGCAAATTTGTTCCTATGATTAACATGTCATCAACATGGAGACAAACTATTACACCATAGTCTTTAGTAAACTTAGAGTAAACGCATCTATCTGCTCCATTATGATTAAAACCATAAGATAATATGACACTATCAAATTTCTCATGCCACTTTTAGGAGCTTGTTTTAATCTATACAAGGATTTCACCAATTTGCAAACCTTATTTTCATTACCAGAAAGTATAAATCCTTCTGATTGTTCCATATATACTTCATCATCAAGATCACCATTTAAGAATGTTGTTTTTACATCTATTTGATAGATGTATCAATCATATATTGATACTAAAGCAAACAACACTCTTATTGAAGTAATTCTTGCCACTGGAGCATATGTGTCAAAATAATCAACTCCTTCTTTTTGTTTAAAACTTTTTGCCACTAGTCTTACTTTGAAGGTTTGTAGAGAACCATCAGTATTATATTTTCTCCTAAACACCCATTTACATCCGATTGGTTTACAACTAGATGGTAAGTCAACCAATACCCATGTTCCATTTGATAGAAGTGAATCTATTTCATCATTTATTGCTTCCTTCCGAAAATTGGAATCTCTTGATGTCATTGCATCGCTATAAGTTTTAGGATCTTCTTTCAAATGCATAACAACGGGTATCTTATTGAAAATCTCATCTCTACTTCCTTTAACCAAGAAGACTATTGCTTGTGAAGAAATAAAATTAGAATCCAGGTTCTTCTCTTTTCTTACCCTTTGACTTCTCCTAGGTTTATTAGGAGGTTCAACTTGTTTCTGTTTATTATTTAAAGGAGAACTTTGATCCATATTAATATCTTGTGTAATTAGAGGTTCAACATTTTCTCTATTTGATTGTTGATTGACATTTGAATTTCCAAGAAAACTTGTTTCTAAAAATTCAACGTCTCTAGACTCTATGATAGCATACGAGTCTATATCTAACAATCTATATGCTTTTGAATTTTCAGCATAACCCACAAAAACACTCTTAAGAGCTCTAGGTCCTTATTTGATTCTTTTAGGATCTGAAACTCTATAATAGGCTATACAACCACATACTCTCAAATAGCTTAAGTTTGGCCTTCTTCCTTTCCATATTTCATATGGAGAAGTTTTTGTTTTCTTTGAGGGGTATCCTATTGTGCACATGACAAGCTATTAATAGAGCTTCTCTTCATAGATTTATTGGTAGTTTAGCATGCATAAGCATAGCATTAATCATATATACTAATGTTCTATTCTTTCTTTCAGCCAAACTATTTTGTTGTGAAGTGTAAGGTGCACTCGTTTGACGAATCAAACCATTTTCTTCACAAAAAAACAATAAATTCAATTGGAAAATATTCACCACCTCGATCACTTTATAGGATTTTAATTTTCTTTTCCAATTAATTTTCAACCAAGGTTTTATAACATTTAAACATATCAAATGCTTGATCTTTAGTTCTTATTAAATAAACATGAGTAAACTTAGAATGATCATCAATGAAAGTAATAAAATATCTATTTCCTCCTCTAGTTAAATGACCTTTTAATTCACATATATCAGAATGCATAAGTTCAAGTGTTTCAGTTGTTCTTTCATTCTTTGGAAAAGGTTTCTTAGTAATTTTTGCTTGTATGCATATTTCACATTTTTCAAAATTTTCATTTGTACGTGGAATTAAATCATGCCTAGACATATACCTAATTGATTCATAATTAACATGTGATAAACGAGCATGCCATAAATTAAAAGGAGACTCAAGAATATAAACAAAAACATCAACTTTATTTATGCTCAACTTAAACATGCCATCACATGAATACCCTTTTCCAACAAAGACACCTTTCTTAGAAATATAATTTTTTATGTCTCTTAGACAACCTTCAAGCCCTTCTTGCACAACAAACTTGCAGATATCATATTTTTTCTCACATCAGGAACATGAAATACATTCATTAAGATCAGTTCCTTTCCAGAGGTAAACTACAGTTCAACAGTCCATTTTTCATACACATTGGTAGTATCATGATTCCCCATCAGAACACTTCATCATTCGATGCAACTTCATAGTTCTTGAACAGATTTTGTTATTACAAACATGCACTGTCACACCAGAATCATACAACCAATCTGCAGTCTTGTCAGTTGTTGCCATGTTGCATTCTGTAATCATGTTAATTTTTAGTTCAGCAACCATGACTATAATTTCATAAGGACTTGGAGGACGTTCAACAATATTGGCCTTCTTTTGTCCAGTGTTTGCCTCTGTCTTCAATCTTTTATAGAACCTGCACTTTTTCTTGAAATGACCATTCTTGCCACAGAAAAAACATGTCTTGTTCTTCTTAAAGTTGGCAAAATTATTACTTGAAGATTCAACATACTTCCTTTTATTTCTAGAAGTATTACCAGTCTTTGTTGATTTCTTCGTATTAGATTCAATATTGTTTACTTTAGAACCAAACTCTGAAGCATTTTGATTCACACGACTGCGATTTTCTTCTTCTATTCGGATATGCTTCATGAGTTGGTCTATGGTAAAATCTTCAGAAGTGTGTAACAATATCTTTCGATAATCGTTCAAAGTAGTAGGCAATTTTGCAATTACTACAGCCACTTGAAGTTGTTCAGACACTTTTATTTTAAAATCCTTGAGTCTAGATACTAGGACAAGCAATTCATCTACTTGTTTCATAATAGATTTATTATCAACCATTTTGAATTCAAAAAATTTCATAATGAGAAATTTGTCTGTACCTTGCTTGACAGATGTATATTTTTTCTCTAGAGCGCTCCAGATTTTTTGTGGGGATTTGATTGAACGAAACATATCGTACAATCGATCAGACAGTGAATTCAGAATATAGTCTCTGCAGCGAACTTCAGCCTCCATGCGTTTCTTGCGGGTTGCTATAGTTTCTTCATCCTTTTTGTCAGATGATTTAGGAATAGTTGACAGATTTTCACTTAGCAGATACATAACACCCAATTCAATAAGCAAGAGAAATAATTTATCCTTCCAGCATGTAAAGTTCGTTCCATCAAAACGATCTAACTTGAACACTTCGGGATTGAACTTGAAAATAGAATTCGAACCAGTAACCGAATCAGTAGCCTCCATTGTTGCTTAATTTCCTTAAGATTGTTAACAAAATAACTTCAACAGATTAGAAAGCTTTGATCGTATATTCACTCTCCTTAATGAAATTATGCTCAAACTATGTTGTTGCTGGATTTATGGCAAATTTCTCTAGGATTAACAAAGTCAAACAGAATTTTAGATACCAAACTCAAAAATTCTCCCAATAACAGAATAAAGAAACATTTTTTTGTATATGTTTGTATTGAAGGATCTGTACAGGTATTTATAATACCTTAGAGATGTAAAGGAGAGATACAACTCTTAGGCCAAAGAGATGTAAAGAGGAGAAACAACTCTTGGGTCAAGAGACATTAATTAATACAAAAATAATTAATTGTTTATAGAGTTCAAGCCCAAGATGCCCCAAGTGCCCATCTTTTAACTTTAAATATTATTTTATTTAAAGCCTAATCAAGGCCTATTGATTTGAAATATTTGAAGTTTCCCTCCAAATCTTCCCATCATCCAAATTTTATAAATTTGATGTGTTTCTCCTTTTAAACTCTTTCATTCCCTTTCAAAATTTTCAATATGAGATACCTTACATTACTAACTATCTTATATTACTAACTATTTCTAACATGGTTTGGATTAACCAATGAGTAATATAGTCTGATGATGTTATTAACATGACTGAGCAGAGGGATGAATGCAAGGTGTACTGAATAGTTTGATTTAATTCAGTCAGAGCTCCAAGGCTCTGGAGTATAGGATATGGGGAATGGGGTTATCACACAAAGAATTTATAGTGGTTCATCAGTTCGGGAGTTCGGCTAATCCACCTTCAAGTAAGTCTCTTACTCCTGGGGAATATATTGATAGTTTGGGTTTTACAGAGACTATAGAAATGAGTCTACAATGGCTTATTGGTTCTGTCAAGGGTTTTGCCTCTTATTTATAGTTATCCGTAGGCCTAGCTTGATCTGAGGTGAGATCCTTGCTCTTTTCTTGTAACGATTGCCTTTATTGTGCAACAGCTGCGGTGGGTGTTAGTGCAATTATGAGTCTTACGCCTGCTACGTAACTGTTCCTACTAAGGAGGTACTTTGTGGAATCCAGCTATCATCTGCACAGTCTTCCTTGAGATGCAGATACAGGGAGCCTGAGGTCTGAAGTGAAGGATTGCAGAAAACATAAATGAACTAAACTCCCAACCTAAGTAAGCATGACCTGAGTTAATAAGCTCAACCTTGGGCATATTCGAGGAACCAACATAATCATTTACAAAACAAATATATGTTAAATCCGTAGATCTCACATGTTTATATGTTACTTATCAAACACATATATGATTAGAATTCATATATGAATCACATGTACGCAAAATTGGGGTTGAATTTGAAAGATTTTGATACAATCAATTCAATCCCCGACTTCAAAACCATCCAAACATGCCTTTAGTGTTTTTGCTAGGGGTTTGTCTTTTTAATTTTTAAAAATTTTTTGGGAATGCGAGCTTACGTAGTTTGGAGATATTCATAGTTACATGTATAATCATAACAAGGGGTGACCCTGGCCCGAAATTGGGTGGTATCAGCCAACCCGACCCGATAATGTTGGCTGAATTTTTCTTAAATGTTATATCTACATAATTTAAGATTTTGGTGGGATATATAATTAATTTCACATAAAGTCCGTTATTATCTCGGGGTCTCAATTTCGAGTCTCCTAAATGGATGTTCACTGGATAATATAGTTTACCAGTAATTATACACTTCTCGAGTGCACATAATAGTTTTATATATGTCCAAAAGAATTGCGCTTGGGCCGGTTGTCGGTTATCAAGAAGAAATATATTAAATCTAATGCTTCGTTTAGTACGATAGAAAAGTGGGAGGATAGAAAGTTAGAGGGATAAATAAAACATATTTCGTAATGAAAGAAAATAAGAAGGATGAAAAAGTAGATAGATTAACTTTCCTTCCAACTTACCAAAATCAATTCCTCTAAAATCGGAAGGAAAGTGAATGAAAAATTAATTATTTATGTTAAGATATATCTTATTTGTCTATATATTTTATGTATACATTAATTTTATATAAAAATACAATAGTAAAATATGTATATATATTTTAAAAAAATTTAAAATTTAATTTTTAAAAAAATAAAAAAAATAAAAATTTTAAATTTAAATTAAAAAAAATATTTTTTTATCTTGACTAAAGTTAAAAAATTTCGACTCAACACGATGACACGACTCGAACTCGATACGAAAATAAATAGGTCAACTCGCAACTCGACACGACACAATTAGTTAAATGAGTTAAGTTAAGTTTGACTAATATTTGACATAAACTCGTAATTACTTAACACGAATCTGACACTACATGACTCGACTCTATTGTCACCTCTAAATTTAGTCAGCACAAAAAAAAAAATAGTCATTTTTATTTTCCATCCATCCAATCAAACACAAAGGAAGAAAAATATAAGATAGAAAGTGTATTCTTTCTACTTTCCATCCTCCCTATCGAACGAAGCATAAGTGTGGAATTTGCTAATTTATGAACTATATACATCTGGTATGTTGATAAGTAAAGTAAAAGCGGGAAGAGGACATTGATTATTTTAAGCATTTAGCATGTTGAACTTCGAGTTCACGTGGCCTCGTTCATCTACATTGTGTTTGGCTATTTTTCCGATATAAGTTTTGACAAAATCGATGCCTTTGTCTGTTTTAATTAGTTGTTCGTGTTCATAAGCATTTTCATTGGATTAAATTAATTGACACACAGCCAGAAGACAGCTTGGTGGGCTAGCTGTAACAAATTACAAACAAAAGCAACATTAAGCAATATATTTTTTTAGAGCAATGCTACATGGACTTAAAAAATAGATTTGATAATTTCAACCATTGATTTCACTNATATATTTTTTTAGAGCAATGCTACATGAACTTAAAAAGTAGATTTGATAATTTCAACCATTGATTTCACCGTAGGTTCTAACATTTATTAGAACCCACTACCTATTCAATGGTTGAGATTATCAACTCTAATTTTTAAGTCTATATAACATTACTCATTTTTTTAAGTTCAATCACATTGTTTAGAGAGGATCAGATGCTTAGTTTTCAGATCTCAACCTTGGCATGCCACCACAGTCACATGAGAAGCTTTATCATATGATAGACTACGTTTAAGAATTAGAAACCTGCACCAATTGGTTTAGTGACCGAAAAAGGGGTGACACGTATATCTAGATGTCACAAGTTTTATTACCAAATGTGCGGGATTTGGGATGCTTATGTGCATTGGATGTGTATGTTGCAGGTGTGTATATATGTTGTTACCATTAGAATATAATTTTAGAGATATATAACTACATACATATTTAATCGACCAAAATTAAATTATATCCCAAACATATTGCTCTTACCATTAACAAAAACGAGGGATGGGAGATTTGATGTCCGCTTATGTCATTCTCTCTTAACCGCTTGTAACTCTCTCTTTAATTGCACTTAATCATACTTAATCATTATGTCATTCTCTCTTAACTGCTTGTAACTCTCTCTTTAATTGCACTTAACCATACTTAATCACCATTAACCAATATTTTATCTCTATTAGTCTCATTAATTCCTCCCCTTCTCTCTCTCTAACTCTCACTATCATCACATAGTCACACACACGAATAGCAATGGGCCCGACTCTCTTGTCCTTCAAGCCCCAAGGCTTATAGGATTAGGAACACTTTTAGTGGTAGTGCATAGGAATGCTATAAAGCATATTCCAACCTTATCTTTCTTTAAGAATTGCCACATGCGTCGCTAGCAAAGTTGAAATGAAAAGCCAAAGTTTTGTTTTGTAGCGAGAATAACTTTATTAAAAATTCTTAGATTTCTCTTTGACAAAGTAAAAGATTCCAATTAGTTGTCCTTTTCACCACAAAAGTTGATCAACTTAGTATACTCTCTCTCTCTCTCAAATGGCAGAAGAAGCAAAGCCTAAATGGGAAGGCAAAGCCACTGCAAAGCTCAAAGGCCTAGCAGCATCACAAGTATGGCCTCTCCTAGAGGATTTTTGCAGCTTTAACAAATGGATTCCCACCATTGATACATGTTACCAAGTTGAGGGAGTCAATGGACAACCTGGACTTTTTCGGTACTGCGCCGCCACAATATCGTCATCATCGGATGGCAGTGAGAAGTCCATAAAGTGGTGTCACGAGAAATTACTCGAAATCGACCCGATCCAACGTTGTCTAAGCTATGAAGTGTTGGATAATAATTTGGGATTCAAGTCATCTGTATCAAAAATGGAAGTATTGCCAACCGATGGTGATGAGCAGCACGGGTGTGAGATCGAATGGTCATTTGTCGCTGATCCAGTCGAAGGATTGACTTTTGAAGGTTTGTTGGCTTATTTTGACTCTTCCCTTCAAGGCGTGGCAGAGAATATGGAGAAAGCATTACTATCCACTTGAATCGTATATGTACCCATTATTAGCAATTGCTAATGGACTATGTTCATTTGTGTTTTATTTCGAGTTGATATGGTTTAGAAATCTTCTGCTGTTACTGTTCTTGGACTTGTAGGAGTAAGTGGACTCCCTCCACTTGTTAATGTTCAATGTTTGGTGTTAGTGTCATCATATGATGTTTTGGAATCTTGTCGTGTTTATATTATCTAGTCCAAATATGAGTAACTTTTTTTTTTTTTTTTTATGGTAACTCAAATGAGAAAGGTTATAATCTCGAAATCTTAATTTTGAATCTTGTCCACGACTTATGCATCGAGGGTTCACGTACGTATAAATAGCCATATCTAAAAGATGTGTATTTCGGATACTTATTCAATTCGTTGGGAAAAAGAAAAACTATTGGCATATATGATAAAACCTATTCTTTAACTGAATGTGGGAAGATCAAATTCTTAATTAATCCTGAGAGAGAAAAAAAAAATTGCTTGTTGCAATGTATTTACATAGTCTTTCTGAGACATACAAGCCACTGATGTTTTGCCTACATTATATACATGCTTCAAGTACAACATTTTGAGTTCATTCTATATAGACATTTCAATTTTCAATAAGAAAGAGGCATCAAATGATGATGTATGTATGATGTTTATAAACAATTTTTTGTTTATAACATTTACTGAAAGCCTTATAATCATCAGAAATCATCTCAATGTTGTTGTCTCCCCAGTGAATATTAATATTTTTTTCACCCGACGTATAGTACTCATTTTAGGAACGTCCAGTGTCAAAGTCACTTATCTTTAGATTGCCTACATTAGCCTCCCCTATCCATTCAATCAATTACATACTCGTCGATTAATTTCTTCACGCTCAAGCTCAATCATGCAAGAAGGAATTCTAATTAATGCAGATTGGATCGCATTAGAGTATTTGGATTGTTGGGAAGAGAAGGGTTGGGCTGATCAAACAATTTGATTTTTTTAAAGTCACTTCCACGTACATGGGTTTCAGAACACCCCATGTCCAGTTAGAAATGGCAAGTTAAGATGAACTCATCGCACCACTGCGACCCACAGTGAATTTCGGACAAATTTTTTCGGGCTTGAAAAATGCATTTTTTTCATTTTTAGTAATTTTTCGTAGTTGAATAATTTCAGTCTTCTTTTTTTTCCAATTATGTTGGTATTCTTAAGAATCAATAGATTTATTGAAACTTTTAGAACTAATATTCTTTGTGCATCAACAGGCTTAGAGTCAAAACCTAAATTAGTATTTGTGCGTAAATCAAATATTTAATTTTATTATCTCCCTTTTGTCATTATACCTAGGGATGTGAATGGACCGAAGTGTCTTCATCCCCACACCCGTTTAAAAAATCTTCGTCCATCCCCGTTAACGGATATAATTTTTATCCCTATTCCCGTCCGCGGATAAAATTTTAATCTCCGCCCCGTCCCTGCTTTCCTGTACCCGCCCAAGCCCAAAGCCCAAGTCAATTAAATTAGAAAAAGATCACATCAACATGTAACACAACTTGAACTTTGATAGATAATACTGATACAAAGAAACTCCCCTTTCCCCCCTGCATTACATTATGCTAAGAAAAAACCATCAAAACACCACCAAAACAAAAAGTGAGAAAGAAAATTAAGAATTAATTATGGATTGAAAACAACAAAAGAGCAACAAGAAAGTTTCTGAATTCAAAAAAATTTAATTCAGGATACTTTTTTTGGCATCTAAGCACAAAACTATGGAAGCAACATCTTGGAAGTGAGTTAAAACCAGCTAAACGAAATTCAAACAGTAAAATAAAGTTTCATATCAAAACAATAATGCCCAAAACAGTAAAATAATGTCCGAAATTCGTCAAAGATCAAGCTTCATCTCAAAACAATAATGCCCAAAACAGTAAAATCTGAGCATCAGACAACTATTACACATCAACAGCCAAAAAAAAACAGCTAGCTAAACAAAAATATAGATTAGAACCCTTAAAAACTAGGAAAAATAAAGATCAAGAAACGTAAGGTAGAAAACCGGTCCCATATAAGCTAGATGAACAAATTCAAACCAAAACTGTGGTTTCTTGGAATCAAAAAGAGATATAACAAAGGTCACAACACAACACAAAAATGAATATATGGAGAGAGAGAGAGAGTACATACCAAAATTTGAGGACTAGCTGTGAATTTCAGAGACAGTAGTCGGAGATGGAGACAGCTCAGGCAGGCGGTTGATAGAGAATAGAGGAGAGTAATTTAGGGCAGGGGGCTTAGGGCTTTAAGTTTTACTGAATCTAACATCAAATTAGGTTACAAGGATAGTTGTCTCTGTAATATAGTCAGTGTAATAAACAAAGAGAATGAGGAAAAACACATTCTCATTGAGTTAATTAGTAAGATTGAGGATCCTGAGTTAAAAATTAAATATGTTAAAACAACTCAAAAATCTTTTAGTAAAACAAGATGATATATTTGTTCAATAGTTTTTACTTGTAATTCTTCATTAAAGGCTTTAAGGAGCCAACTAGTTTTATAGATGTCTCGATGGGATACTTTTGGGATATTCCATCTAGTCTAATCTACTCTTGTTTCTCCAAACTCATGTTCTTCTTCAAGGAGGATCCTGATACCAAAATATAACAAAGTGCAGAATTCATGTGAGTTCAAGGAGAATCGCAAGATGTAGAATAATTTATAAACAAATTTAAACAAAATTACAAAAATTACAATATAAAATNACAAAATTCATGTGAGTTCAAGGAGAATCACAAGATGTAGAATAATTTATAAAAAAATTTAAACAAAATTACAAAAATTATAATATAAAATAAAACTAAGATACTTACAATACTAGCACTAAGTGGGCTAGTAGTGAAAGGGGATAGGAAAGAAACTTTTTATTTGCATCATTATGAGAGCTCTCAAAATATAGGGTTATAGTGGAGGTAGGAGTATTTTTCTAGGCGTGTAATGAGTTTTGCTTGAGCAAAAAAAACTTGCTTTGAAAATGAATACTGAAGTCCTTATATAGGTGTAAGGAATTCTGAAGGAATCTTTGGAATGATTACACCGTTGTCTTCAGTGGATGCTTTAACTTTGGGTAAAGTGGTTTCATCTTAGCCTTTCGGTGGGAAAGTAGAGGTGAATTGCTTTTTCCCATGTGAATGCTGACTTAAATGGTAGGTGCGTCCTATTGTTTTCGGATAGAATCTACTTTCGGTGAAAATCAGACTTTGACAAATGGCTGATGACATCTTTACTAGGGGAAAGTGTCGGGGTGCCAAATAATATCTCATCGATATATGTTACAGACAAATTTTCTTTCTTTATTGAAAAAAGTAGTGATTGAATCTATCACACATATAGACAAGTATTATTATGGGGTAGATATATCTACCAAATTATCGTATCCTGGTTGTCTTGGAAGGGATCCAATGTAGGGATGACTGACGCTTGTGATGACGCAGGAGAATTGCTTTCACTGGTTGCTTGTTAAAGAAGCTGATGTGCTAGCTCAATGAGGGCAACAGTCTTATTCTTGGATTGTTTGCTGGAATCCTTAGAGGTGGATTTCTTAGGCTCTTCTGGAGTAGAAATCCTGAGCGGAGGCATGACTTGTCTGACTGGAGTTGATGGGGTTGCTTGAACCACTGTTGGGGTCGGGACCATGACTAGAAACTCCTGTTTGACATGATCAACAATTGGTCCTTATTGGAACCTGGGCCACCATTTAACATAAAATTGTCTGGCGACATTATAACCAATAATTTTTCATTTTCATTTGCATATCCATGGGACTTTGTACCTGCAAATAAATGTTAGTAAAATAGGAAACTGACTCTCATGTTTACTAGGTCGATAAACAGAGGAGAAGACTATAATCTGATCTTGAAGATCAGCTAGAAAGATTTCATGAATGAGGCCATGAATAAACCACCACTGTGCGAACCAGGATTGAATCTGACTCTTGAAATCTTTATGAAATTGTAGGAACCAAGAATGATCGAAAGAATCATTTTGGTAGAGTATCAGTTTAAACCATGATTCTTTGTAATCATAGTAATTAAACTTTATCTTATGATAGGGTAAATCCCGGAGGGAAGAATGATGAGGTCCTCAATCTTTGAGAGAAATAATTTTTAGAATATGTAATGAATGATAAATAATTCTACTCTGGTCATTTTTATCAAATATAGGCTTGACAAAAATAGACTGAATATAGAATATGATATCCTGATAGAATTAGAAGGTCTTTTCAGGATCAGATGGAATAAAGGTCCATCCTGGCTCAAGGTAGGCTGTGACTAGGTCCATTGGGTTGCTTAAGTGAGCATGGACTGGTTCAATAGCAAATATATTTTGTGTATAGGCTTTGATGTAGTCAACTTTTGGGACAAACTAGGGTTTTTGCTTAGAATATGGGTTTACTAATTGGCCAGTGGTGCCTGATTGGACTGGTACAACATGTCTTGGGGCCTACTGGGCCATTTGGAGAAAAGTGCTAGGTGGCACTATAGTGGATTTGGCGACTGGCCTTGTTGGGTTAGGATTACCAAGGGGTTGGAATCTATTGGTAATCTGAATAGCAGAGGATAAAGGTTTTGGGCTTGGCAAGATTGGTGGGCTTGGCAAGGCTAACTGTTTATCCAGGTTTGCCTTTTCTTGGGCAAATATCTGACTAAATTTTTTCTTTCCAGTATTCCTCCCGACTGTGGAAGAGGTACTAGGGTTATTATCTTTTTTGTCCGCCATGAGGTTCCTGCAGAAATTCACGGGTTAGGAAATCAGGAATGCAGTTATTACTGCCTTTGATATATTCGATGTCAAAATCGAAAATACTTAAAATAGATTGACATCTGACAAAAATCTGTTTACTAGCAATGTTTTGTATATCATTTTTCAATACATATTTTGCAGATTTACAGTCGACTCGGATTAAAAATTTTTGATTTAATATATCATCCTGAAATTTAGAGATACACAGGACAATAGATAAAATTTCTTTTTTAATAGTACTATAATTTAGTTGTGCTTTATTCTAGATACCAGAGTGGAAATAAACAATTTGCTCTGGGGAGTTTGGAGTAAGTTTGTGAAGTAAGATACCACCGTAGCCAATGTCGTAAGCATCATTTTGGATGAATTTGAAGAAATTAACCGAAGGAATACCAAGACAAGGCAAAGTTTTAATGAACTGTTTGACTTGCTGAACTATGGATGTATGA